TACAGAAAGTGAGAAATCACTCCCCCCCCCCGGGGTATGATCATGCCACAATCCCTTACCCATTCTCCTCTCAGGATTTTGTGCATGTGCGCCCGGAATGAGTTTAAAGCCACTGGGTCCAAGACTAGAACTGTGGTCAACTATGTAGAAGTCCAGTGACAAAACCATTATGCCATCTGCTGGTCCCATGGACAGGATGTTTAATTTACATACACAACTAGTGACATTGAAATTTCTGAGCATTCTTTCATTGTTAGTGCCTTGTTTTATGCTGCTCTTGGGTTAGTCCTTTGATCACCTTAGCCATTATAATTGCCTAATTATTCTTTCCCCAATCTATTTGGGTTTGGATTTTGGTATTTATGAGGTCAAATGTAAACTGCACCTGCAAACTCAGGAATAGTTCTCTCATCTTTCAAAATGTTTTCACTTACTTCCTGGAATCTTAGAGATAACAAAGAGAACAGTTAGCAATGCCTCTCATACTGTCCTGTGTAACTATGCCAATTTCTCAACTGAAATGTAATTTTCATTATTAATTGTACTTACACCTATTCTCAATATTTATTTAATTTGGGTATCTCACTTGTCTTTTTAAACTGCAGAGAATGGGACTGAATCTAAATATCTTACATGAGATTTAAGTTGATACAACATGTAAACAAGTACTCAAAATACAATACTTTTCATGGATGTATTAATTCACAGAGAGGAAAAGCTAATGAGGACTCAGGTAGGTGATTAAACTATACAATATGCTTTTCAAATAATGTACTTATACAACAGTAAATAACTGATAGGTTCTCCCCTAGATATATGTAGTTCACTTTCATTATTTGAAAAATTATCAATATTTATGAACTCATGAGGTACATGCAATTATTCCTTTTAACCATCAACTCTCTTGACAGGGACTTGATGAAACCACAATGTGCTTCCTTAGAAGTGGAAATTGAATTCCTTCTTGAATTAGAAATATAAGGACTGTGAATTACACTTTCTTAGCAGCCGACTTTGTCAAATGGTCATGTAACTTCTGTGTGTGTTGTTTTCCACAGATGCTGCCTCTACAACATTGCTGATTTAAAGTCACAAAACAAATCGAGAACAATGGCAATGAAAGTATAATAGAAAGCAGGAAAACTGGGATGTTGCTTAAAAATCCTTCATTACTTTATCCCTCACATAATCAACTTCGAAGGAAAAATTTCTAGACGAACACTTCACAGACCTAGTTTGTCATGAAGCACAAAATGTCAACCATGTTTTATAAAAACTAAAATTTGTCCACCAATTACTATGAATTAATTAGTCACTCCTAGCATTATAAGCAGCTTTTCAAAAGAAAGCATGTATTATGCCATACTGATCAAGTCAATACAAGTGTATAGGTTAATGAGCTTTTCTTCCTTAGTAAATCACAATTTAGCTGCTTCCTGTGAATTACTTTCATAGGAGTTGGCAACGCCATAAAAAATAGTTGATTCATAAATCTGATAAATTTTTTAACAGAAGTATTTCTACAGAAAATTCTATAAGTTTTGTTGCAGGAACAAAGAAAACTGTCCAAACAAACATATGTAATCAAATGTATCTGCTTATATATAAATAAGTATATTAATCTAAAAAATAAAAGGAGACCCTGGGTGATGGCACAGTGATAAAACGTGGCACTCTGTGAGGCTGACGTACAAGAGGAGGTTCGGGATTCATGTTTGGGAACTTTTCTGAGTAGACCTGGCATGTTTGCCCATGATCCAGGGCTTGCTGAAGCTGCGGGTAGATCAAGGTGTCAAACTCTGTTGGAGATATTATTTGTGTGTGTGTGTGTGTGTGTGTGTGTGTGTGTGTGTGTGGTGCAGGGGGTAATCTCTCTTTCTTTCTCACTGTAAACAAATAAATGAATAAATACTCTCTGTCTTCCATAGATTAACAGCAACATTCTATCTTGCATAGATTATCAGCAACATATTAAAGTTTTTAATAATAAGTATTTTGGTGAACATTTGTGAGACTGAATATTTTTAAGATTATGAAACAAATATTTGCCCAATACAGGAATGATGAATTTGTATCTATAAATGAAAAACAAAATAATCTAACAAATAATAAATCAAGAAGTAAACTCATAGGCCAGCCCTACATCCTAGTTGCTAAGGGAGCCAGATCCCATATGGTCAACTGCATTTATCTTGGTCCCAGCGACTTGAAAAATACACTGGGTACACACCCAGTGTATGTGGCCATGTCCAAAATCATGACAGGATGAAGAAATGGAGAAGGGGTTGCAGCATGTACATGTGCACACTGACAATTAAAACAAACAAAAAAAAGTAAACTCTTCCATGAATTTATTGAACACTTTCCTCCAGAGCCTCTCCCAACTTTATTCCACAACCATGTAGTCGCTGGTATCTACACTATTTCTATGTCTTTAAATCTTTCAATTTCTGCCATAGAGTGTAGACATGCAGTATATATTGAGCAGGGACACCCAATGTTTGTCTTTCATAGTCTGGCTTATTGCATTTAGCATTAAATATTCCAGAGTCATTCACTTTGTATTGAATGACAGGATCTTACTGTTTGTATGGCTGAATAGTGTTCCATTGTGTCACTATGCTGCATGTTTTAAATCTAAATCATCAGGACTTATTCCATACCTTAGCTATTGCAAACAATGCTGTAATAAACTTGGATGTGCAAACATCTCTCTGACTGAGTAATTCTTGGCATTTAAGTAAATACCAAGGAGTGGGATTACTGGGTCCTTCATTACTTTATCCCTCACATAATCAACTTCGAAGGAAAAATTTCTAGACGAACACTTCACAGACCTAGTTTGTCATGAAGCACAAAATGTCAACCATGTTTTATAAAAACTAAAATTTGTCCACCAATTACTATGAATTAATTAGTCACTCCTAGCATTATAAGCAGCTTTTCAAAAGAAAGCATGTATTATGCCATACTGATCAAGTCAATACAAGTGTATAGGTTAATGAGCTTTTCTTCCTTAGTAAATCACAATTTAGCTGCTTCCTGTGAATTACTTTCATAGGAGTTGGCAACGCCATAAAAAATAGTTGATTCATAAATCTGATAAATTTTTTAACAGAAGTATTTCTACAGAAAATTCTATAAGTTTTGTTGCAGGAACAAAGAAAACTGTCCAAACAAACATATGTAATCAAATGTATCTGCTTATATATAAATAAGTATATTAATCTAAAAAATAAAAGGAGACCCTGGGTGATGGCACAGTGATAAAACGTGGCACTCTGTGAGGCTGACGTACAAGAGGAGGTTCGGGATTCATGTTTGGGAACTTTTCTGAGTAGACCTGGCATGTTTGCCCATGATCCAGGGCTTGCTGAAGCTGCGGGTAGATCAAGGTGTCAAACTCTGTTGGAGATATTATTTGTGTGTGTGTGTGTGTGTGTGTGTGTGTGTGTGTGTGTGTGGTGCAGGGGGTAATCTCTCTTTCTTTCTCACTGTAAACAAATAAATGAATAAATACTCTCTGTCTTCCATAGATTAACAGCAACATTCTATCTTGCATAGATTATCAGCAACATATTAAAGTTTTTAATAATAAGTATTTTGGTGAACATTTGTGAGACTGAATATTTTTAAGATTATGAAACAAATATTTGCCCAATACAGGAATGATGAATTTGTATCTATAAATGAAAAACAAAATAATCTAACAAATAATAAATCAAGAAGTAAACTCATAGGCCAGCCCTACATCCTAGTTGCTAAGGGAGCCAGATCCCATATGGTCAACTGCATTTATCTTGGTCCCAGCGACTTGAAAAATACACTGGGTACACACCCAGTGTATGTGGCCATGTCCAAAATCATGACAGGATGAAGAAATGGAGAAGGGGTTGCAGCATGTACATGTGCACACTGACAATTAAAACAAACAAAAAAAAGTAAACTCTTCCATGAATTTATTGAACACTTTCCTCCAGAGCCTCTCCCAACTTTATTCCACAACCATGTAGTCGCTGGTATCTACACTATTTCTATGTCTTTAAATCTTTCAATTTCTGCCATAGAGTGTAGACATGCAGTATATATTGAGCAGGGACACCCAATGTTTGTCTTTCATAGTCTGGCTTATTGCATTTAGCATTAAATATTCCAGAGTCATTCACTTTGTATTGAATGACAGGATCTTACTGTTTGTATGGCTGAATAGTGTTCCATTGTGTCACTATGCTGCATGTTTTAAATCTAATCATCAGTACTTATTCCATACCTTAGCTATTGCAAACAATGCTGTAATAAACTTGGATGTGCAAACATCTCTCTGACTGAGTAATTCTTGGCATTTAAGTAAATACCAAGGAGTGGGATTACTGGGTCATATGGCCATTTAGAACCTGCGCTATCTTTAGTACGATACAGTCTATCAAAGGACATTTTTAGCCATCATTTACCAAGATGCTATCCCAGTATCCTCTAGCTTTCACCATGATCCTACTTGGTGTGAGACTTAACAGTAGTCACACAAAGTGTCTTTCTGTTTTGTGCCTACAGAGTCTTTTCTAATCATAGTTACCTATGCTTATGCAGATCAACAGGGAGGGTTCTTCTCCATGTCCACAAACCTTTGAAGTTCAAATAAAGTGAAGCAGGACTCAGGCAGTAGTACAGTGGCAACACAACTGAACCCACAGGGGAAAGGGCCCAGATTCACCCCCTGAGAGCACCGTGCATGTGCCTGTGCCCATCATCTGGGCTGGCTGAGCTGGGGGTGGATTGCAGTAGGAGCACACCGTTAGGGATGTCTGTCTCTATTTCTCATGGAAAAAAAAAAGTTTTTAAAACTTAATTAAAAAAATAAATAAACCGAAGCAGATTCCACCAAATGTTATGAATATCCTCAGAACTACCTAAGAGAATTCTAGGCCAAACACTAAGATCGATTATAGCTCAATCAGGCAATTAAACATTCATTCACACATTCACACGGACAGATTGTGTACTTTGTTTTTCTTCTCTTCTCTTTGCATCAATTCTTTCTTCTTCCACCGTTTCTCCTTCTCCTCTTCCTTTTCTCTTCTTCTGACAGAAATTTCCATTTCCAGTCTTGCTACCTCTTCTTGGTGGACTCGCCATTGAAGAACCTGATATAAACAGAAACATTTCATTCCAATGCCTATGAAAATAAGACTAGGTTCGGTATCAAGCAGTTGTAAATTTTGTCTAAATACACATTTAGGTTCTGGGTGCACATGATTTGTGTGTGCAAATGTGTGTGTGTGCCTGTGTGTCTGTGTGTTAGTAAAACAACTTTAAAATCACCCCAGTTAGATATTCTTTACCTGAATTCATGGAGTGAAGTCCTAAGGAGTCTGTGATTTGACTTCAAAAGATCTGTAAATTCCCATAAATAGTATATGAAAATTTCTGTTTCTGCACATGTGTGTGAGTTTTTTTCAAAAGCAGGTTGAACACATTTCAAAAATTCTCAAATGGTTTTAAGAACCTAAAAAATTTAAGAACTACTTATATATTTCAGTGTCTTTATTTTGTAAGGATGGAAAAAGAGCCTGAATTAAGATGAAAAAACTGTAAGAAATGTAAAAGAATTTTCTGGATACTGATATGTCTCATTAGTAGAGGTATATTTGGTATAGCTTCTCCTTTGGATATTGGAGAATATGTATCATGATATAAAATATGCATAGCATTTCATCTACAAACCCTACTCCCAGGAAATTATTCAAAGAGGACAATCAACTGGACAGCAGCACAAAAATGTGCTCACATGAATGTTCACTGCAATGCTGCTTAAAACAGAAAAGTTAGAAAAGGTCTAAATGTCTGGCAATAGGAGATGGCTTACTTAATTATGGTTCCTTTACACAATGACCACCACTGAAAAAGGATGTTATTCATTGGCATAGAAAATGTCTACAGTATGGTATTAGATGAAAAAAGCAGATGCAAGACCATATCTTTTCATTATTTATTAATTTGTCATCATTATTATTATTTATACATTCAATTTCTATACATAATTTAGCTTGCAGAGAGAATATACCCAACATGAAATACACAGAGCAGTCCAGTTGTGAATATTATACGCTTCATCATCAACAGGTAATAAACTGTTTCTGTGTCCTAGTAATGACTTACTTCTCTATTTTTCTCCCTAATTTCCTTCCCTACATTCTTCTCCTCTCCAACCCTCCTTCCACACTGTCTCCAGTGTCCATAACTATTTTCAATGCTTTTATGCCCTACAGTTTTTTAGTCTTTACCATAGAGTGCTGACAGTATATGTTAAGTGGAGACATACAAAGTCTCTCTTTCATATCCTGATTTGCTTCACTCAGCAGAAAAATCTTCACATGGTCAGCGCATGGTGTGGTGGGGTTTGGGCAGCTGGAACCCACATGGCTGACTACATCATTCAAGTCCCAGACTGGCAGCTTGAAGGATATGCAGGGCACTTGTGCATGCGTGCCCAAAGTCCCACAAGGAGGCAGAAATAAAGGAGAAGAACTGCAGTATGACCCTTCCCACAAGGAGTGCTTTCTCACTTTTCTTCTCTCTCTCTCTCTTTCTTTCTTTCTTTTTTCTTTTTTTTTGGAGAGGTTTTTGCTATAGGGCACGTGCACCCGCCAGACAGACAGAGAGAGACATAGAGACAGAAAGTGAGAAATCACCCCCCAGGGGGATGGCCACGCCGCAATCCCTTCTCCTCCATTCTCCTCTCGGGATCTTGGGCACGCACGCACGTGCACACAGCATGAGTTTTAAGCCACCGGGTCCGGGACGCAAACTGCGGTCGACTATGTGGGAGTCCAGCGACATAGCCATTATGCTAACTGCTGGTCCCTCCTTCTCTCTCTTTCTTTCTTGTAAGCACAGGTGCACTCTGGAAAAAAAATTCTAAATAATATGACCTTATTAATATAATATATGAACTATGAATCTAAGCATAGAAAGAGACCTGGAATTTGATTATTACCAAAACAATAATATTGATTATCTCTGAATATTATCATTTCATATATTTAAAATACTTATTCTTTAAATATTTCTGTGCTGGGAAATATTTTTACAATAAACATGTATTATCCTTGTAAGCATGAAATAAATGAAACTAACAAAATAAAACAGATACTGGTCTATGTACATATCTGTCTGAGGAAGTAATCAGTAGGAAAATATAGAGGTGTGAAAAGTCCTTATTAGAAACAGAAAAATTAGCATTTCCAATTAAATACCTAATTTCTTACATATTTGATTAAAAAATGCATGTAAACAAGAGGAATGGGTTATAACATGATGTACCACAGCAAAGTAAAAAATGTCATTGATGATTTGATACATACTTCCAAGGAGATACTGAAACTACTGCTGAATGTGCACACACGTAATGTACAATGTTGAAAAAAATGACAATGTTGGGAACCAGCAGTTAGCGTAATGGCTATGTCGCTGGACTCCCACGTAGTCAACCACGGTTCGCGTCCCGGACCCAGTGGCTTAAAACTCACGCCGGGTGCGTGTGTGTGCGTGCCCAAGATCCAGAGAGGAGAATGGAGGAGAAGGGATTGCGGCGTGACCATCCCCCCTGGGGGGTGATTTCTCGCTTTCTATCTCTCTGTCTGTCTGGCGAGCACATACGCCCTATAGTGAAAACCTCTCCAAAAACAAAACAAAAAGAAAGAAAGAAAGAAAATGACAATGTCTACATCTATGATTTGATAACTACAACTGTATGCATGCTGTGACAAACCATACTGAACCATACACATTCACACAGACACACACACACACACACAAACTAATTGTTAAAGAAAAAATATACTAGTATTATAGAAAATTAAAATTGGGCCCAGCCTGGTGGCACTTTCAGACCAAACTGAATTGCAATAATAGAAGCTAAATGGCTGACAGTGGGTTGTGGCCCCCAGGTTACTCTGAAAGCATACCAAGTATGTGGGCATTTGCCCAAGATTCTAATAAGCTTGAGGTCTGTGGGAAGGGGATGGCAGTATGACAAGAGTCACCCTGTCTAGGGTGACTCTCTTTCTCTTTCTCTTTCATTCCCTTTCTCTATCTTGCTCTCTCTTTCTCTCATGCATGTGCACATATTCTCTATTATGAATACAATAAGACAAAAAAGGAAACTTGAAAGAATAAAATTTCTTACAAATATGATTCAAGTGACTTTAAATAGTTAAGCTCTTTTGCACTTACATTGTTCCAAATTTTAGTTTTTGTAAAATAGATTTTGGCTTATGTATCAAAATAATCAAACAAATTCCTACCCGTGGTTTTCAGAGTTCAGTTTATTCTACTGGCTGCTTATCCTGCTTATCCATGATATGCATGAACTGCATGCCTAGAACATGTTATCTATGTGTTCTGTTCTGAACTTCTACTTGCAAGCCTTTCCTTTCTGCAACTCATCTCCCATCTGTAACTTGCTACAATTAAAATCAGGTGTCTTGGGACCAGTAGGTGACATAGTAGTTAAGGCATTGTACTCCCACAAGGCCAACCACAGTTCAAGTACTGAACCTAGCAGCTTGAAACTCACAAAAGGCATGTGTGTGTGTGTGTGTGTGTGTGTGTGTGTGTGTGCGTGTGTGTGCGTGCGCATCCAATATCCCAGGAAGAGAATGGAAGAGAAGGGATGTGGCATGGCCATCCTCTGGGGGGGGAGGGGTTGATTTCTCACTTTCCTTTTTACTGTTTCTATTTTTTTCCAGCAAACTCATACGCCCTGTGGCAAAAAGCTTTAAAAGAAAAAAAATTAAGTATCCTGTCAAGTGTTGCCAGTGATCTGTCAAATATTTTTAAAAATATCAAAAAATTAATTTTCTATTTTGATGGTTAACTGACCTGTTGTCAGTTTAAAACTGTTTACGTTTTAAACTTGTCCCTTCCTAGGCCACGACGTCATTGCCTCTACTTTTCTGCCAATGGCTACTGCTCTCCCCTTGTCCTCTTCCTACTTCCAGTGCCTCCCTCCTCCCCCACATCTACGTTATCTCCTCTTCGATCTCCAGTCACTCTGTGTTCATTATTTGTTGTGCTTGTTCTTTAGAGGTCATCATTTCTGCATACACAATGTTTGTAAAACTCACACTACCAGCTTCTTTTGGTCTTCGATCCAACCTGTATTAACTAGTTTTTATGATTTGACTATTTTTGTATGCATACTTAAAATCTATCATGTCCAAATTAAACTCAACCTCTTTAATTTTGCCACTACTTCACAAGCCCGGTGCACCCGTCTCTCCTTTGTAAATATCTGGATTTGGCCTGTCAAACCACAAGTCTCTTTGCAGTTTGGATTTTTTTTTATTACTGTATATACCCATCAATATTACTGTTTTCTATTTTATATCTGACTGAAAAGATAATATATTTCTTTAGCTCAATGAGCTTTTATTTATCACAAACCAAATTTCCAAGTCACTGAACTTGGTTTTATTTCCCTAGCCCACTCAAAGATCTAAATAATTTATCTATCTCTTCTATAACAAAGAATTATTTAATTTAATTTTATTTATCATTGTGATTATTTTTCAATTTGCCCAGAGAGAGGCAGAGAGAGAGAGGGAAAGTGAGAAAGGAAGCCACAAGGTCCAGGACTCGAACTGCAATCGGCCATGTGCGAGTCCAGCACTCCAACCATCATGCCACCTGCTAGCCCAGTAATGTATCTGTCTTACACCCAACCAATACACTCTGTAACCTAGCTAATGTGCAATCTCTAGGTTTGTTTGTTTTGTGCCTCCTTTATATGGCCATTTTTTTTCCTATTTATGGTAGAGCACATACATCTGCGCACAAGAGAGATATGATAGAGAGAGAAAGCAACCTGCCACATGATTGGCTATGTCACTATTGCCTGAACATGCATACACATACCCAATGTGTTTTCATGCTGATCAGGCCAGAGACTCAAACCAGTTAGCATGTGACTTCCAGATCCATAGTTTAGTACGCTACTGTATCCATAGTTTAGTAGCCATTCTGTTTTTTGTTTGTTTGTTTTTAGAGATTTTTGCTACAGGGAGTGTGCGCTTGCTGGAGAGACAGAGAGACAGAAAGAGAGAAATCACCTCCCAGAGGGAGTGGCCACTCCACAATTCCC